TAAACTTTCACTTAATCCACAATAAAAACCTGAAATTAAAAAAATATATAATAATATATATATCGAAAAATTGCAAGTTGTCAAAAATGAAATGAAATGCATGAAGCAGCTGAAATGGACTAGTACTGGACATTTTGAATTGGGTAAACATGGTCTACTAGACCAGGAATGGAAATTGAAGAGGAATGGTGTTATTATCAGTAAGAATATCACAAGATCTATTCTGAAGTACAGTGATGTCAGTGATGGGAATACTAGTTATCTGCAGTCTGAAATTGATCCAATATACAGTCAAAATGCGCTAATAATTATTGGTGATTAGAATGCAAAAGTTGGAAAGAAAGAAGGATCAGTAGCTGGGAAATGTGACTTTGGTGATAGAAATGACCCTTGAGATTGCATGATAAAATTTTGCAAGACCAAGTGACTTACTTATTAACCTTTATTTAACAATATAAACAAGTGACTATACCCGTGAACCTTAGAGGATGGATTACATAGAAATTGACTCCATCTGTGAAAAGAATGGAGAAGCTCAATATTGTCAGTGAGAACAAGACCATCAATAGCTCAAATACAATGGTCACCATCACCACAACCCACCACCTTCGAATAGACTCTGACTCATAGTGGCCCTCTAGGACAGAATAGAACTGCTCCTTAGCATTCCCGAGATTAAATCTGTACAGGAGCAATCATCTTTCTTCCTCAGAGAAGCAGGTGGGTTTCAAACCACTGACCTTCTGGTTAGCAGCCTATCGCTTGCCTCACAGCACCACCAGGGCTCCATATGCAATAATGCTCATGTTCAAGTCCACAAAAATGTATTTGTTTATCTGTTTTGTTGTTACGTGCTGTTGAGTCAGTTCTGACTCATAGCAACCCTTTGTATAATAGAACAAAACACTGCCCATCCTTGCACCATCCTCACAGTTGTTACTTTGGAATCCATTGCTGCTGCCACTTTGTCAACACATCTTGTTGGTGGTTTTCCTCTTGTTCGCTGACCCTCCACCTTACCAACCATGATGTCCTTCTCTGGAGATAGCATGTCCAAAAGTATGAGAAGCGAAGCCTCGCCATCCTGGCTTCTAAGGAGCATTCTAAGGCTGTACCCCTTTGAAGACACATTTGTTTTTTCTTCTGGCATTTCATGGTATTTTCAATAGTCTTCCCTAACTTTGTAATTCAAATGCATCAATTCTTCTATAGTCTTCCTTTTTCATAGTCCAATTTTAGCATGCATATAAGGCTATTGAAAATGCTTGGGTCAGGCAAACTTTAGTCCTCACACTGCTATCTTTGCTCTTGAACACTTTAAAGAGGTCTTTTGCAGCAGATTTGCCTAATGCAATATGTTGATTTCTTGACTGCTTCTTTCATGCATGTTGACTGTGGATCCCAATTAAATGAAGTCTTTGGCAACTTCAATGCTATGAAGTTGGTGAGGATTTTCGTTTTCTGTAAATTGAGGTATGGTCTTTGATCTTCATCAGTAAGTATTTTAAGTCTTCACTTTCAGTAAACAAGGTTGTATTATCTGCATGTCACAGGTTATTAATGAATCTCCAATCCAGATGCCCTGTTTTTCTTCATATAATCTACTTTCTCAGCTTATTTGCTCAGTATACAGATTGAATAAGTATGGTGAAAGGATGCAACCCTGGTTGGTTTTTTGGTTTTAACTATTGTAACAAGTGAGGGTTTACAGAGTAGATCATCACTTATACATTAAACAAAGCATACACTGCATTTCATTGGTTGGAATCCCCTCAGTATATGTAGTATCACTCATCCCTCTTCCTCCCTGCCTTTCTTGTTTCCATTCATCGATTTTCCAACCAGTCTCTCTATCTGACCAGTAAGCCAGGTCTTTTTTTTTTTTTTTTTAATAATTTTCAGTTTTGTTCTGTATTTTCTCCCACTCTCTTCTCCAGGATCTTCTAATGTTATCTCTTTGAGAGCACTTGGGAGTAGCAGCCAGGCACTATCCAGTTTTTCTGATCTCAGGGTCATGGAGACTGATGTTCACATGATCCATTACTCGGTTAAACTAATTGTTTCCAAGTGTTTTCATCAGTGCTTATTTCCTCTTGACAGAAAGAGAGGCCAGTATTTGCACCTTAGATGGATGTTCATGAGATGTTAAGATCTACATTGGGGATCGATGGCTTTTATTTTGTCCACCCAACTTATTGAAGTTTAGTGATTTGGTCTGCTTTGAAACATGCTTTTTAATTTTTTGATTTCTTATATTCCTTCTGTCCTCTGTAAGTCCTCTTCTATTTCCTAGTTCTCTACTAGTCATTCCATTTTTATAGGTGGCCAACTGGTTGTTCTAGATGTCTGCCTTTTCCCAGAATTTGTAAATACTTGGTGAAAAGTTTATCTTGAATCCTCTCTCAAGACCAAATATGTCACCTATTTAATTAAACTATTTGATGCTGATGGATGAGTCTCCCAGTTAATAAGCATGTAATTCTGTCTTCCTAGGGGTGGGACCAGGGCCTTTTGCCTCAGTTATTAGTAATTCTAATGAAGGAAATTTCTAGCTGGGTTGGAAAGGAAAGGCTATGCTATGAGATAATTATTACATTCAATTCTCTGTCTTTCCTCCTTCTCCAGTAGTATCTGTAGCATGATATGACACAAATTTATGATAGATAGTAAAATCCTAGGAGAGCTGGAACCTGTATATATCAGAAACCTGTCATAGAAATAGAACAAAAACTCAGATATTTTCCACTAACAAGAGTTATAGAAAAATGGAAAGCCTGTACCCTGTCAAAGGCAGAAAACTTGTGAGACCCTAAAAAAGAAGGCCATCCCATCGAGTTCTGGCTTTTACTATAACAGTGACATAATCCTAAACGGCAAGGTAGTCTTGGTCATATTTCCATTCTTTAATATCTAGACTTTCTCTAGTTACTATAAGGTCTCATAAGACTTCTAATGAGTCCTGTTGGCATCGTGGATTAAGCATTGACTACTAACTGCAAGATTGGCAGTTCAAATCTACCATCTGCATAGCAGGAAAAAAATTATGTTGCCTGCTCCTGTAAAGCTTAGTCTCCGAAGCTAGAGTTGAAACTCATAGAATTAACAACAGCTATGCATGGACATGGGAAGACCCAGATTCTGAATCCCATCGCTGCCTTTAATTAGTGTATAACTTTGGGCAAGCTGCTACTTTGCTTCTCTGGTCTTCCACCTGCTTACCTATAAAATGCCATGTTGTTAAGTGCTTTCGAGTTGGTTCCAATCCATAGCAACCCCATAGATGGTTTCAAAGGAGCAACTGGTGAGCTTGAACCACCAACCTCACAGGTTAAACCGACTTTACAGTCTAGCATACATAAGGAATCTTTAAGACCCTTCTCTAAATAAGAGTAGTAATTCTGATTCCAAGAGTCACATTCAGGATCCTTCAAGATAGCATTATTAGGCATTGTTGCTGTGAACATGCTGACTCGTTTATTTTTTACATGCTGTTTTGGTTTTAAAAAACAAGGTGATAAAATGCTGTTTTTTAAACCCATTTAAACATAATAGTTAAAAATGTCTGTGATCTCTTACAGTGGCAGATGATTCCTTCAGGAGCTTATGGTCTTGAACAAAATGAGCCTGAAAGGAAAGAGAGTAAGTATTTACAAATTTCATAGTGACTATCTTTGTTACTGAGGAGAGGGATACATATGATCTTGTGGTAGAAAATGCTGTGGGGATAGGTGAAACATATTCTTTACGTAAGTTAGATTTGTTCACCCCATTTTCCTCTTATATTTTACGAAAGAATAAAGCAGAGATATTTGATGCACACATAAATGCCTGGTCTCCAGCCCATAGGCACACAGCTGAATTCAGTCCATGGGCCTAGAGTCCATAGTTGCTCTTTCCATGTCACCACTTCTGCCACCATCTTTGCTGTCACTGCTTCTTCAGGGATCCCACGCTGCACTCATTCTCTTCCTTCTTGATGGTCCTGGAATTGTCCGTTCCTGAAATGAAACATAACTCCCTCCTTTTAGCTACATATCTTCTACAATTACATTTCTGACAACCACAATCAATAGTACTAATAATTACAATTGAATAATAAAACCTTATCAGCATCAATTCTGTACCCACTTTCACCAGACCCATCTGGGAAAGAGGAAAACTAGTAAGTGGGGCTATTCCCTTGACCCCTCCTTATAAAACCAGATACTCCCATGAAAATTTGTCAAAGCAGCCACGTTATGCATTTATAGCAATGTTGTTAGGTGCCATCAAGCCGGTACCAACTCATAGTGACCCTGTGCACAACAAAACAAAACACTGCCCAGTCCTGGAGTCCTGGGCTGACCTCACAATTGTTGCCACACTTCAGCCCATTGATGCTGCACTTTGCCAGTCCATCTCACTGGGGGTCTTCCTCTTTTTCTCTGCCCCTCCACCTTACAAAATATGATATCCTTCTCCAGCGACTGGTCCCTCCTGACAATATGTCCAAAGTATGAGAGATGAAGTTTGGCCATCCTGGCCTCCAAGGAGCACTCTGGCTGCATGTCTTCCGACATAGATCTGTTGGTTCTTTTGGCAGCCCATGGCACTTTCAATATTCTCCTCCAGCACCATAACTCAAAAGCATCAATTCTTCTATGTTCTTCCTTATTCACTGTCCAGCTTTCACATACATATCCGATTACTGAAAATACCATGGCTTGGGTCAGGCGCACCTTAGTCCTCAAGCTGACATCTTTGCTCTTAAACACTTTAAAAAGGTCTTGTGCAACAGATTTGCCTAATGCTATAATACATCCTTTGATTTCTTGACTGCTGCTTCCATGAGTGTTGATCCAAGAAGAATGCAGTCCTTGACAACTTCGATCTTTTCTCCATTGATAAGAATGTTGTTTATTTGTCAGTGTTGAGGATTTTTGTTTTCTTTACATTGAGATGCAATCAAAGACTAGTCTTTGATCTTCATCGGTAAATGTTTTAAGTCCTCTTCACTTTAATCAAGCAAGGTTGTATCATCTGCATACCACGGGTTGTTAATCAGTCTTCCTCCAATCTTGATGCCACGTTTTTCTTGTAACGCAGCATCTCGGATTTATTTGCTCTTATTCAATCCTACAGATTGAATAAGTATGGTGAAAGAATACAACCCTGTCGCACACCTTTCCTGATTTGTTCCTGTGTCCTGTTCAAACAACTGCCTCTTGGTCCATGTACAGGTTCCTCATGAGCACAATTAAGTGTTCCGGAACACTCATACTTCACAATGTTGTCCATAGCTTGTCATGATCCACACAATCAAAAGCCTTTGCATAGTCAGTAAAGCACAGGGAAACATCCTTCTGGTACTATCTGTTTTCAGCCAAGATCTACATGACATCAGCAATGATATCCTTTGTTCCACATTCTTTTCTGAATCTGGCTTGAACCTCTGAAAGTTCTCTGTCAATGTATGCTTGCAGCCATTTCTGTATTACCTTTAGTAAAATTTTACTTGCATGGATATCAAAGATAGTGTCCGGGGTCACCTCTCTTTGGAATGGGGCACAAATACGGATCTCTTCCAATCAGTTGGCCAGATAGTTGTCTTCCAGATTTCATGGCATAGATGAGTGAGTGCCTCCAGTGTCACCTCACTTTGTTAAAAAGATTTCAATTTTTATTCCATCAGTTCCAACAGTTGGCCTTATTCTTTGCCAATTCCTTCAATGCCCCTTGGACTTCTTCCTTTGGTATCATTGGCTCTTAACCATATGCTACCTCCTGAAATGGTTGAACATTAACCATTTCCGTTTGGTACAGTGACTCTGTGCATATTCCTTCCATTTTCTTTTGATGCTTTCCGCAATATTCAATAATTTGCCCAGAGAATCCCTCAATAACAAAAATTGAGGCTTGAATTTTTTCTTCAATTCCCTCAGCTTGAGAAATACTGAGCGTGTTCTACCCGTTTAGTTTTCTAACTACAGATCTTTGCATTTTTTGTTATAAATATTTGACTTTGTCTTCTCAAGCTAACCTTTGAAATTTTCTGCTCAGTTCTTGTACCTCCTCATTTCTTCCATTTGCTTTAGCATCTCTATGCTGGAGAGCAAGTTTCAGAGTCTCTTCTGACATCCATTTTGATCTTATCCTTCTTTGTCTTCTTAATGACTTTTTGCTCTCTTCATGTATGATGTTCTTGATGTCATCCCACAACTCTTCTGGTCTTCGGTCTTTAGTATATAATGTATCAAATCTGTTCTTCAGATGATCTCTAAATTCAGGTGGGATATATTCAACAGCATATTCTGGCTGTCATGGACTTGTTTTCATTTTCTTCAGCTTCAGTCTAAATTTGCATATGACCAATTGATGGTGTGTTCCACAATCTGCCCCTGGCCTTTTTTTGGCTGATGATATGGAGTTTTTCCACCATCTCTTTCCACAGATGTATTCAAATTGATTTCTATGTATTCCATCTGGTGAGGTCCATGTGTATAATTGTCTCTTATACTGTTTAAAAAAGGTATTTAAATTAACAAATCATTGGCTTTGCAGAATTCTATCATGGGATGATCTCTAGCATCATTTCTGTCACCTCGGCCATATTTTTCCAACTACTGATCCTTCCTCTGTGTTTCCAAACTTTGCATTACAATCCTCATTAAAGATCAATACATCTTGATTGTATGATCAATTTCAGAGTGATGAAGTTGAAATAGAATTCTTCTATTTCATCCTCACTGGCATTAGTGGTTGGTGCATATGTTTGAATAATAGTGATATTAACTAAATCTTCCCTTAGGTGCATGGGTATTATCCTATCACAGACAATTTCATTCACAAGTAGACCCAGGTGATCATCAGCAACTATATTGCTTGTGGGTTCCCTTCAACTTTCAGTCCTAGAAGGGGGTTTCCTTTGATGGGTCAATTTTCCTTACCATGAAGCCTCTGAAACTCAAAATGCCAAACTGTGTGGGGTTTTTTTTGCTTTCTTTTCAATCACAGATCTGTTCTTTCAACAGTTCTGGGTTAGTGTGCATGTCTTTTCAAATGCAAATATCTCAACTCTGAAGGTGTGTGTGGAGCTCAAGACAATACCTTATCCCCACAGTGGGGTGTGCTTCCCACTGGTAACTACTTTTCCCTTGCGGAGACTCCCTCTTCACCAGTCCCTTTACTTGAGTATAGTGAGTCCACTCCTTCTCTGTGGTCCAGACAGCTGTCTCAATGGTCAACTGCACCTGGTAAGGGCCCTCCCAGTTTGACTGGAGTCTGTCCTCTTTCCAGGTCTTGATCAGCACACCAAGTCTTCCGGTTGGAAGTGATGCACGGTGAATTCGAAGTTAACCTGAGGGTTAGCAAAGCAGAAAGGGCCAGCACATAGTTTCTCAGGAATCCCAGGTAGAGGAGCCTATGGCATGGCGTCCCTTTAGCAGTGACTGCCATTCCACCCTTCGGCTTCAAGAATTCTGAGGATTAAGATGAGGCTATTCAGGGATAAGTTAAGTGCCGTTGAGTCGGTTCCGACCCATAGTGACCCTGTACAGGGTTTCCGAGGGTGTAAATCTTTACGG